TGCGCTATGAGCATGCTGTCGGTGTGGAATTAGCGCAATATAAATGGACTAATTATTATTATAATTTATCCATTTAATAAGAACAGAACATGTCCCATTTTACTGTTTTTGGAACACACCTATGCTGAGGAATGATATATCTCCGATTTTAAAATGATGACATTTATTTATTTATAGACAGAAACTGATGCCTATGAACCACTGAATAATGTGGAGTTTAACCTTGACCTTGTATGTATCATTCATAAATGCCATTCAAAGTCTTTATCAGTAGGATAATTTAATGAGAATCACGTGCAATAATGCACCTGTCTCGTCACAATAGCATCTCTAATGATGGTCATCTCATGCCTCATCTGTTGCTAACAACCCTCAGATCGATATCACACACACTAAAATAGCTTTTAATATTAGTAATACATTGTCTACATGCGTCACATTAGCTTGCCTTTGTGTCATGGCGACTAATTACCTTACCACCTCCGAGTCTATTGTCAAGGGATGTACTTCTACGTGGACATGCTGTGGGCAGGTAATAAGGGTATGTGTAAAGATGGCCCTCATTTGAACCCATTCACCGACTCCAACAATGCAATTCTAATTACAGGTCATCAACTCCGTCACACCGGCGCTGTGGCAGTTACGTTCAGCATATTTCTCCGAAAAACACCAGCAGTGGAAAAATAACATACGCACGCACGCACGCACGCACGTACGCATACACAGATTTATCGGCGCTGGTATGAACGCCTGTTTCACCTCAAACTGACGGATCTCAATGCAATTTATGAATAGGTATACACATATACCAGTGTTAACTATAGGGGAACATATCTAGGTGAAAGTAGTTCCCTTTATTACAACTAAGCACTAAAATATTCTATTCAGGGTGAACCGCCTTCGTGGTGTAGTGGTTAGAGCGTCCGCCCGGAGAGCGGAAGGTCGCGGGTTCGATCCCCTCCCGCGTCATACCAAAAGACCTTAAAATGTGGTACTTGTTGGTCCCTGCCTGGCGCTCGGCATTACAACAAGGGTACAACAAGGACTGGTCGGCTCGGAGTCAGTATAATGTGTCTGAGTTGGGTATCCATGCTTCACTGCGGCATGGTATCTCAGTGGGCTAGCACTATAAAACCAGCTTAAGTCTGGGCTAGTACAAGCAGCCGCACATACACATCCACACGCATGCACGTCGGCATATGAGCGAAATATTCTCAAGCACGACGTTAAACCCAATTTCACCTCACCTCTATTCGGGGTCACTGGTTATTTTTTTATTGGTTTGAGAATAGTCCCATTGCAGCGTGGACTGGTTCCCGGATTCTCCGCTTGACGGCCAATCTCGAACGAGTGGGAACCAGTCTAATTGAAGTCATGTCGCACACATCATGGTGAACATGACGTCACTAGTGATTTAATATGACAATGGACCAACTGAACTGATGCCTCCCACTCAGGATAGCCTTATTTTCCAAACTGATGTGTCTGTAATTAAATAGGAGCGTTCGCTCGTCACGCAGAAGACCCGGGTTCGATCACATGCCCTCGTGTTTTTGCGAGGATTAAAGATGTAAAAACACATAAAACATTTGAGATGACCCCCGACACGAAATGCTTCACAGTACAATACATTATAACAAGCATTTCAAGTCGGGGGTCATCTCAAATGTTTTATGTGCTTTTAACATCTTTAATCCTCGCAAAGACACGAGGGTCTGACTGGGCCTGAAGAGGCGACTGGGTCAAGTGGTCAAGCTCGCTGACTTGGTAAATGTCTTTGTATCTCAGCAGCGTAGACCGATGCCCACGATGCCAATACCTGGGTTGTCTGGGAACATTTATGAGTGGCGCTAAACCACAAACAATTCTGGTAATTCTATAAAGTGCTGATAGTAAAAATAAACTGGAAAATACATAAATTATAAATTTCAATGAATTGATCTTTAAGAATTCTTTCGACCTGTGAAAACAGCAATGACGAAGACAAATACACTAAACGCCAAAAGAAACGTTACCCTCCTACATTTACGAATTACTGGAAAACTATCAAAGATATGTTTAGAAGGTATTTAGAAGGTATTAGTTTACAAGAAAGTTTAACAACACAGCTTTGTGCAAATCACGAAAAGAGATTTTCAAATGCATTCATATATATTTAGGTGAAATGCATCTTCTTCAGAAGAGTTAAATTGTCCTATTTTCGACCATGCCGAAAAAAACCGATAACAGTGATTTAGATGTCCAAAAGAAAGGTTGACATAAAATTCTGCTTTGGAATAAACCATTTAAAGTCACCATTTTTCAACTACGATAACAAGAAACAAGTGTTGTAGAGTGACTGTGTAAACTTGTAAAATAATCATTCCTATGATTTCAGTCTTTTAAAACATTTTCTGCTGATTTGCAGTAGTGAAAACAAGTAAAAAGTGTCTTTGATATTGTGAAAAAGTGTTTAGGAACATCTAAAATTATCATTGTTAACATATTTGCTTGCAAAGTAACATTTTTCCATTTTCTGTTTACACTTAGCAATATCAATCTCCAAAACATAGCAATATTCAAGCAGTATTTGCATCCATTTCACGTGTAGAATGATTGTATAGGATATAAAGATAGACTAGGATGCATGATATGATACACAAGTACGAGAAATGTGCCACGATTAACAGCTGAAGAGAGAGAAAGAGCCATTGGGATTGTGCAGGTGGGGTCAACATACAATGCTGTTGCCAACGCCATCGGATGCCACCGTATCACGGTTACCAGACTTATTCAGCGCTACAGACAGGCTGAGGTCAACGTTGACAGACCAAGAAGTGTACGTCCGCGCATCACAACGCCAGCTGAAGATAGGTACCTCCGTCATTAAGGAAAGAGGGTAACGTTTGGGCTTTTTTGCGTGTAGTGTATAATGGTTGCTTACAATACGGCATTACTCAGTATTTGCATAACCCTATCTATCAATTTATACGATATTACCTTAATACCATAATTTAGGATAAAATAATTATATAGAGTATGAGATAATTATGTGGGACAAACAAACATTATATATAATGTACAATTACACAAGCCGAAATTCTAGCACAGAAGGAAACCTCTTCTAATTAGATTAGATTAGAGTGAGGGAGGCAGTCCAGTTTTACGCCGCTTTTAGCAATATTCCAGCAATATCACGGCGGGGAATTGGCTTCACACACTGTACCCATATGGTGAACCGAACTCGGGTCTTCGCGTGACGAGCGAACGCTTTAACCTCTAGGCTACCCCACCACCCCTTTAAATTGGACTGACTGACTGAGTTTGGTTTTACGCCGCTTTTAGCAATATTCCAGCAACATCACGGCGGGGGACACCAGAAATGGGCTTCACACATTGTACCCATGTGGGGATTCGAACCCGGGTCTTCGGCGTGACGAGCCAACGCTTTAACCATTAGGCTACCCCACCTCCCCCTTTAAATTGGAACTGTGAGGTGTATATGAGTGAGTGAGTGGGGGTTTTGCCAGCTTTTATCAATGTCCCGGTGGGGAACACCAGACATGGGTTTAATAGGCGACTATAACGGCGACGGGTGGTCACGCTAGCTGACTTGGTTGACCGCGCCATATATCTGGCATATTGCTGAGTTAAAGAAAGCAACCAAACTGAACACATTGTACCCATATGTTGGCAATGTACCCGGGTCTTCGGTGTGATGAGCGAACACTTTAACCACTAGACACACACACAGACACACACAGACACACACACACACACACACACACACACACACACACACACACACACACACACACACACACACACACACACACACACACACACACACACACACACACACACACACACACTGAAGACTAAAACTGTAAACCAAATCGCTTATTACCCATCCAGCCGTGAATGAAAACCAAGTTCCATTCCGAGCTACATATCTAACTGTGAAATTAATGATAAAACTGTTTTCCAAATCAGTTATTACCCGTCCTGCCATGAATTAAAACCAAATTCCATTCCGTGTTAATCGAATCGAATTGCCTTGTAGGTTATTCCACAACGCCGGAAGGGCACGCCATGAAGGTAAATGGGTGCAGCGAGAATTTTATTACGATCCGCAGAAACAGCTTCCGCTAACCACAGGCATAAAATGTATGTGTTGCTGGTAAATTAGAAACTTAAGTTGGATTTGACGGTGTACACACCGATAGACCGAGCGCAAGAGTAGCATGAAGCGTTTAATACGGAGTATAACGATCTTAGCACCATACTGCAAGCACATGTTGGTGTTGTGAGAGATAGATATTTAGAGAAAAAGAGAGAGAGAAAGAACGAGAGAGAGAGAGATGTAGATTGACAGAGATGGAGAGAAAGTGAAAGAAAGATGGAAAGAGAGTGTGAGTGTGCTTGTGTGTGTGTTTTGTGGGGTAGGTGTGTAGTGTTTTTGTGTGTGTGTGTGTTTGTGTGTTCTCTTGTGTGTAGGGGGTGGTGTGTGTTTGTGTTTCTCACGTGTGTTGGAGGAGAGGGGGTAGATGTGTAGTGTTTTTGTGTTTTCTTGTGTGGGGGGCGTGTAGGGGGGGTAGGTGTATGTGTGGTTATCTCGTGTGTTTGCGTGTGTTTCTTTCGTGCGTTTTGTGGGGAGTGTAGGGGGGGGGTAGGTGTATGTGTGTTTATCTCGTGTGTTTGCGTGTGTTTCTTTCGTGCGTTTTTGTGGGGGGAGTTTAGGGTGGGTAGGTGTTTGTCAATGTACGTCCGTGCGTGCGTTCACGCGATCGTGCGTGCGTACAGGAAATATGTAAGATATAAAATGATGGTGTGCAATAAAGTCAGATCGAAACATGCAGGAGATAGCTGATAGGAATATTGTATGTCGAATGTAGCTGTATTTATCGTTTCCAGTCCGGTAACTATTTTCAAACATAAAAGAAACAAAACATCCCATTCATGTTAATGGTAAACACCATCTGCTGTTACACACAAAAAGTCGTGATAATGGTGAGCAATATTTTCAATTCATGGCCCGTGTAAATTATTTACGACAGACTGATTAAAAATAATATCTAGCACAGAAAACATTCAGTGTATGGGCATGTGTGATGATTGGCCTTAGTTTCTACATTGTAAGCATTGAAACACGCCAATAGTCAAGTACGTCTCTGTCTACCGCAACCTGTTGCTTCGGTATACTCTGCCTCGACTTGCTAATGGCCGTCCTAAAAGGAAACAACAAATTAAATAAAAATAAATATACTGCCGTATGAGGTAGAGACGGCTTTATAATTGGTAATAAAGTAATAAATATCTTTAGAGATAAAGAGAAAGAGGGAGTGAGGGGGAGAGTGAGGAGAGAGGGGTGGGAAGAGGAGGGAGATTGTAGGAAGGAGAGAGGGTGGGTGGGGGAATATGAGAGAGAGAGAAAGAGAGAGAAATAATCGGTGTGTGTGTGTGTGTGTGTCAGTGTGTGTGTGTGTGTGTGTGTGTGTGTGTGTGTGTGTGTGTGTGTTTGTTCAGTGTGTGTGTTTTCAGGGTGCTAATCCCATGTTATAGTCCGTTTGGCTCAAAAGCGGACCGATGAATTGCAATCTAACTCGAAAACTAATAAACATATAATACTCAATGAAACGCTGATCATAATCAAAACATCAGACCAACTCTGTGATTTGTTTGCAGAATTTATGTCCTAAAATTAAAAATATGTTTAACAAACTATCATTAAAATGTTGACACAGTTCACTATTTGCTACGAGGGAGGAGTGCAGAGAAAGGGACAGCCAGGTGTTAGAGAGGCACGTGCACAAGTGCCGACAAAGTTATTGATTCATTAACCTTTGCTGTGCCGTCTCCTTTCTCGCACACCTGGCTGTCCCTTTCTCTGCAATCCTCTCCTGGTAACAAATAGTGAACTGTGTCAATATTTTAATGATAGTTTGTTAAACACCTTTTTTATTTTTAGGATATAAATTCTGCAAAAACCTCACAGAGTAGGTCTGACGTTTTGATTATGATCAGTGTTTCATTGAGTATTATATTTTTATTAGTTTTCGAGTTAGATTGCAATTCATCGGTCCAATTGTGAGCCAAACGGACTATAGTAATCATTTGAATGTTTATACAATGACGCCACTACCATATAAGCTACGGCAAATGTCACCACACACCTTTCAAGGGATATTTTTCAAAACATAGCTATAACAAGGGTAAAGGGAAGCTACTCCGGTCTGTTAGAATCTACCTGGTCATATTTCCTTATCGAACGTCACGAAATGCAGTCAGATGTCCCATATCGCGACAAAGAGAAACAAATCAAAGTTGGCTAAATCCAACTGTTTTAAATATTCGGGAAAGACTCAAAGACCACACAAAGCTCAACAAGCACAGGTGTGGTATAGAAATACCACTACCGTCCTTCACATTGCTTCTCAATTAAAATCGCCAGCGTTGCCTACTCCTGGCAATGGCAGCAACATCGTCCCTTTGAGATCCTGATTGTGTATACCTCAGTCTAGATATCTTTTTATAAGCATACCAAGCATCCCCGATCTTTTTCAGATCCGATTTGTCAGTCTGACTCCACAGCCGATTGACCATGGCGACGCCATGTTTGTTAACACGAATCCGCTCCAGCATACATGTATTTGAGATTTTGAGCCACTATTTGCAAGGATCCAAGGACTAAGGATAGAGTACATGACAACCTAATATGAAAATAACACAGCTAATCCTAAGGACTGTGAATAAAAATCAAGTAAACGTACTGCCTTTATATGTTTTATATGCACTAAAATATTATCATGTATGCGTATAAATAACTCAAGTATTGTATGCACTTAAATATGTATCATATATCGGTATTACCTGTGTATGTATCATATGCACATGAATATCATCATGTATGTGCACTACTTATACATATCCCACAGGTACGTACATATGTATATGTATGTGTATTCCTTATGTATCATATCCACTTAATTATGTATCATTCATGTGTATTACTTAATATGTATCACATATTCGTTTAATTATCTGTGTTTCATATGCACTTAAATATGTATTATATATTCGTTTACTTATCTATGTATCATATGCACATAAATATGTATCATATATTCGTTTACTCATCCATATATCATATGCACATAAATATGTATCTATATTCGTTTACCAAGTTATGTATCATATGCACTTAAATATCTATCATATATTCGTTTGATTAATTATGTATAATATGCACTTAAATATGTATCGTATATTCGTTTACTCATCTATAGATCATATACACTTAAATATGTATCGTATATACGTTTACTCATCTATATATCATATGCACATAAATATGTATCATATATTCGTTTACTCATTTATACATCATATGCACATAAATATGTATCATATATTCGTTTACTCATCTATATATCATATGCACATAAATATGTATCTATTTTCGTTTACTAAGTTATGTATCATATGGACTTAAATATGTATCATATATTCCTTTACTCATCTATATATCATATGCACATAAATATGTATCTATATTCGTTTACTAAGTTATGTATCATATGCACTTAAATATGTATCATATATTCGTTTACTCATCTATATATCATATGCACATAAATATGTATCATATATTCGTTTACTCATCAATATATCATATGCACTTAAATATATATCATATATTCGTTTCTTAGTTATGTATCACATGCACTTAAATATGTATCATATATTCGTTTGATTATCTAAGTATCATATGCACTTAAATATGTATCATATATTCGTTTACTCATCTATGTATCACATGCACTTAAATATCTATCATATATTCGTTTGATTATCTAAGTATCATATGCACTTAAATATGTATCATATATTCGTTTACTCATCTATAGATCATATGCACTTAAATATGTATCATATATTCGTTTACTCATCTATATATCATATGCACTTAAATATGTATCATATATTCGTTTACTCTTCTATATATCATATGCACATAAATATGTATCATATATTCGTTTACTCATCTATACATCATATGCACATAAATATGTATCATATATTCGTTTACTCATCTATATATCATATGCATATAAATATGTATCATATATTCGTTTACTCATCTATATATCATATGCACATAAATATGTATCTATATTCGTTTACTAAGTTATGTATCATATGCACTTAAATATGTATCATATATTCGTTTACTCATCAATATATCATATGCACTTAAATATGTATCATATATTCGTTTCTTAGTTATGTATCACATGCACTTAAATATGTATCATATATTCGTTTGATTATCTAAGTATCATATGCACTTAAATATGTATCATATATTCGTTTACTCATCTATGTATCACATGCACTTAAATATGTGTCATATATTCGTTTGATTATCTAAGTATCATATGCACTTAAATATGTATCATATATTCGTTTACTCATCTATATATCATATGTACTTAAATATGTATCATATATTCGTTTACTCTTCTATATATCATATGCACATAAATATGTATCATATATTCGTTTACTCATCTATACATCATATGCACATAAATATGTATCATATATTCGTTTACTCATCTATATATCATATGCACATAAATATGTATCATATATTCGTTTACTCATCTATATATCATATGCACTTAAATATGTATCATATATTCGTTTACTCATCTATATATCATATGCACATAAATATGTATCATATATTCGTTTACTCATCTATATATCATATGCACATAAATATGTATCATATATTCGTTTACTCATCAATATATCATATGCACATAAATATGTATCATATATTCGTTTACTCATCTATATATCATATGCACATAAATATGTATCATATATTCGTTTACTCATCTATATATCATATGCACTTAAATATGTATCATATATTCGTTTACTCATCTATATATCATATGCACATAAATATGTATTATATATTCGTTTACTCATCTATATATCATATGCACATAAATATGTATCATATATTCGTTTACTCATCTATATATCATATGCACATAAATATGTATCATATATTCGTTTACTCATCTATATATCATATGCACATAAATATGTGTCATATATTCGTTTACTTATCTATATATCATATGTACATACACATGTATCATATATTCGTTTACTCATCTATATATCATATGCACATAAATATGTATCATATATTCGTTTACTCATCTATATATCATATGCACTTAAATATGTATCATATATTCGTTTACTCATCTATATATCATATGCACTTAAATATGTATCATATATTCGTTTACTTATTTATGTATCAAATGCACATAAATATGTATCATATATTCGTTTTCTCATCTATATATCATATACACATAAATATGTATCATATATTCGTTTGCTCATCTATGTATCATATGCACATAAATATGTATCTATATTTGTTTACTCATCTATATATCATATGTACATAAATATGTATCATATATTCGTTTACTCATCTATATATCATATGCACATAAATATGTATCATATATTCGCTTACTCATCCATATATCATATGCACATAAATATGTATCATATATTCGTTTACTCATCTTTATATCATATGCACTTAAATATGTATCATATATTCGTTTACTCATCAATATATCATATGCACTTAAATATGTATCATACATTCGTTTACTCAGCTATATATCATATGCACATAAATATGTATCATATATTCGTTTACTCATCTATATATCATATGCACATAAATATGTATCATATATTCGTTTACTCATCTATATATCATATGCACATAAATATGTATCATATATTCGTTTACTCATCTATATATCATATGCACATAAATATGTATCATATATTCGTTTACTCATCTATATATCATATGCACATAAATATGTATCATATATTCGTTTACTCATCTATATATCATATGCACTTAAATATGTATCATATATTCGTTTACTCATCTATATATCATATGCACATAAATATGTATCATATATTCGTTTACTTATTTATGTATCAAATGCACATAAATATGTATCATATATTTGTTTACTCATCTATATACCATATACACATAAATATGTATCATATATTCGTTTACTCATCTATATATCATATGCACTTAAATATGTATCATATATTCGTTTGCTCATCTATGTATCATATGCACATAAATATG